ATCTTATTATAATAGAGAAAAGTGCATGAGATAAGCTCGGGACCTGTGAGCTCAAGAAACTCGAAGTTCATGTGATTATGTCGGGTGGCTTTTTGTTAAAAGAAATTTATTATCAGGCCTAGTGGCACTTGAGATAAATGAATGTGGAAAGTTAAGAGACCACCGAGTAAACAATAATTACATAAACTCAACAAAACAAAACGTTTTCAATCTTTTTAATGCTTAGCCTTTCCATTATAAATATTATATATTTGTTAGCAATATGCTTTGTCTCTCTAGTAAAGAAACTGAACTTAAAGTTGGAAGATTTAAAAATTTGTTTCTGGACTTTTTACTGAAATATATGGATACCAATCAATTTTGAAGCCATCAATTCAAAATCTTTTTTCAAATATATACAAGGCACCTCCTTTATAATATACTTTAGAAAAATTACTCTTAGAACACCATCTAATTTGATTTTTTTTCCATAAAAATTATAAATAATTTTTTTACATTTAAATCTTCTCTTTTAACATTATCTTCATTATTCCCATCAAATTTTGGTTCTTAAATCCAATCCATAAAAATTTTATAATCATCAAAACCTTCAATTTTAATATCATATTCATCTCAATCAATTTTTTTTAACTGTATTCATGTCTTTGAAACAAATTCTCAAAATTAGTTATATATTCATGATTATTCTTCTCATGATCTCCTAAGCTCTTATCTTTGCTCACTGAAAATTTAATTTTATAATTTTTATATATCTTTCATCACTAATCATCCTTTTGTATTTGTATATTTTTTATCACTAACTTTTTATATTCTTGGATGAATGGCTATGAGTTTAGAGATATAATTGATGAAGATACGATCAAGACCTTGACATTTAATATACTAAACCCTTAAACTCATCCTAAATAATTTTATTGACGACTCATTTGCCTTCATCTTCATTGTAAAGTTTGGCACACTAATAGGATTGGATCTATAAGGGGTATAATACTTAATAAATAACTATTATTTCTAAATTAAGATCTAAAAAAAGTATTGCAAGGATTTTGATATTTTTTTCATCAACTCTTCATAACTAACTTATAATCTTGTATTCTAATATAGGCTTGGTCAAGGGTGAAAAAACCTTGGAGTGCAATCTCTTTTTTAAATCATCATTCAAATTTTTATTAAACCTACTCAAAGTTATGGTTTCATCTTCTCTTATAATGCATCTCATTTTATAATTATTAAATTATATTATTTATTTATTGACAGACTTATTCTCTCACCTAAAATTATTTTATTTGTTTAAAAGTTTAGTTCTTATAAAATTAAGTACTTCTCTTGCTATTTTTGTTTCATTCATTCCAATTAGTGATTAAAGGTTTACCACTCATGTTTAGACAATCCTCAAATATAGTTAAAGAGTATAGGGAAGATGGTTAGTAACTGTATGTTTAGTTTTTTTTTATATATATAAATGAAAAGATAATTTTTTTAATTGATTCGTTTAGTTATAAGAATAACAACAACAAAAAAATGTTATTATATCAAATTTAAAAATAAAATAAAATTAAAAATTAGATGAAGAAAAAAGAAAATAACCAAAGAAAAAAGAAAAGATTAAAACCCTAAAAAAGCTAGCAATTAGGTTTTTCGCTCACTAAATAAAATGATCCAACTTAATAACATCAAATGAATAAATAAATTCAAATAAATTTAATTTAATAACAGAAGATAAAGTTCAATTTCCCAACAAAATAATAATGGGTTAGGTTACTCTCCATCAACAAAGATAGTGCATAATCCGTGTCTCGGTTCTGAGCACCGACTTCTTTCCTTGCAAAGCTCATTCAGTTTGATCTCCTCGCTTTCTCACAATAATCAACCACAGGAGTCATTTTATTACTCTGGTAAAAAACCGAAAGTCTCCATCTGTGTCCATTTCCCAATATATGAAGTTCAAGACACTATAAATATCATCCTTTCGGTGATGACTCGTGTCACAGTGGACAAAGACATGAACTTTGGTTTTGATTTCGATCCAACTGGAGGCTGGAATTCTCTTCAATCCCCTCTCATGCATCTCTTGCCTAATTACCGATGCATCCTGCCATCTACCAGCAGCAGAGTGTGCATTTGACAGCATGATATATGATGATGCATCTTTGGGATCCAAATCTAGGATATTTCTCCCGGCTAATGCCCCCAGTTCCGTATTTGAATGTATCTTGCAGCCTCCAAGCAGTGCCTTCCAAAAACCAATTCCCGGATTAAAAGGCAAGTCACGAAGAAACTCCTGAGCTTCTTTGAAACATCCACAGCGAGACAATAGATCAACCATACAAGCATAATGTTTAGGCTTTAACAAACTGGGGTACTCCAGCCTTGCACGATTGAAATACGAATACCCCTTGTCGACAAGACCAGCATGATTACAAGCCCATAACAGGCCAAGCAGCGTAACACTATCAGGTCTCAGACCGGTGTTCCTCATTCTTTCATAGAAGTCCACAGCATTCTCTCCTCTCCCATTCTGTGCAAAGCCACAAATCACAGCATTCCAAGAGACGATAGTTTTTTCAGGAAGTTCATAAAAAAGACGGAGACTATCTTCCATGCTTCCACATTTTGCATAAAAGCTAATTAGAGAATTGCCAACGAACACACTAAACTCTCCCATTGTCTTAATAGCACAAGCATGAAAACTTCTGCCCATTTCAAGTGCTGCTATTTTGGCACCAGCCATAATAGCACAAGGAAATGTATATTGACAAGGCACCAAGCCTTCTCTAATCATCTCAACAAAAAGATTGACAGCCTCTTCATTCTGTCCCATCTGACTAAACCCACCAATCATCGCATTCCACGACACAATATTTCTCTCCGGCATCTGTTTAAAAAGCTCGAATGCCTCTTCAAACCTCCCTTTCTTGAGGTACCCATGTATCAATGCAGTGTAAGAAACAATATTAGGATGTTGTATGTCCTCAAAAGCTCTTTGAGCTTCTTGAATAGAACCCAACTTGGCATAAGAATCTAAGACTGCACTGCCCACAAAGACCATGTAATTAAGGCCCATCTTCATTGCATAAGCTTGGAATTGCCTCCCTAAGTTAAGGTTCCCAAGTGAGGTTGAGGAGTGAATAACAGTGCCAAATGTAAACTCATTGGGCGTAACATTAAAAAAAGGCATTCTAGAGAAGAGTTGTATTGCTTCTCTGTATTGATGCAGCCTAGCAAACTGACCAATCATGGTTGTTGCTGATACAACATCCAGGTCAGGAATTGTATCGAACACTTGAAGTGCATTTCGAGAGAAATGGGGGTGTTCTGGTTCGAGAATATATTCATGTGCTAAAAAGTGGTTAGATTTAAAAGCTACTGAGTGGATTTTTCTGGGCAAGGTTTGAAGCCGAGATACTCTGCAAAAACCAGGTTTCATCTGTATCACTCTTCTGTAAATTTGGACAGGTTGCATCATTTGACCCAGAAAAAGGACAGCATCGGGAAATTTGCCATTTCATTACCCTCAAAATAAATGCTCCTCCTTCAACTGAGTAGCTTGATAGAATGATTAGGAGGAGGTGTGGTGCGTTCAGATTTTAGAGACGAAGAACATTTTCTAATAAATGTAGATTTAATATTTATTATTGAAAATTCTTATAATAAAATAATTTAAACGCATAGCAAATTAGTTACAAAATATTTATGTTTTTGAAATCAAATTTTATAAATCAAGTTTCTGCCAAAATTGTAAAATGAAATAGTCAAACAAATTATTTAATTACTGATTAATTCCCAAAAGAATAAAATATAATTAACACGACTTTCGCAAAACCATGCTCATGCTAACTCTCAATGATCGAAAAAAGTTAATAAATAATTAAATATACTCTCTATGTATTTTGAGTTAATAATAAAATCAAGTAAGAAAGATAGAGGTAGCAAAATTATAAAGTTTCAGCATTTTTTTAATATTAATTAATCAATTTGTAGTTTAAATAAACAAGACATTCCCGAGTGGCTTATAAAACAAGCAAGACAAACGCAAGTACAAGTTCGAGTATTGATGACCTATAAGAAATACTGACCCATCATCTATATTTTTTTCCCAATAAAAAAAATAAAAAGGAATGCAGACTCTTTTTACTTGTTTTTTTATAAAAAAATTGATGCACAGAGTTGATTAAGTAAAATAATAAGAAATATTATATAAAACTACTAATATTAAAAATGTTATCTAAAAATAAATATTTTTTATTTTAAAAAAGAAATTTAATCTATATAAACATAAAAAATTATAGATGGATAAGAATAATATATTTAAAAATTAAATAAATATAAAAATAATGTAAAAGAACTCTATTAAAAAATATTAAATAAGAAAAATAAAAAAAAATCATAAAGGAGGAATATTAGATGAAACATAAAATAAAAAATATTTGAAAAAAATATATTAAAAAGGTATTAACTAAAATAAAAACTAAAATTAGAATACAAAACAAAAAAAAAACAACAATAGTCCAAGTATTGTAAGCACGTTACAAAAAAAATAGAAAAGCAAATGGATCATGTCATGCCTTGATTAAATTTAATAAGTTGATTATAATAAAAAAATAAACAATAATAATAAATTTATATATTTTTTTAAAATGATCATGATGACTAGAAAAAAAAACTTTTGAAAATATAAAATTGGATTAAAAAATAAACAAAAAAATGGCTAGAATTAATCTAAAATAATGTGATAAACATGTAATTTGAATAATAAAAGATAAGTCAATCTTCCTAAAACTCGTAGTTTAAATTATGGTATTAGGATAGTCTGATATTAAAAAAATAAAAAAATTACAAAACTAGTTTTAAAAAATAAATTGAACAATGAAACCAAAAAATAAAATAAGCAAAAAAAACTGATTTATGTTAATTTTTTAAACTGACCATGTAATTAGATTTAAAGCATCATATATGAAAAAATAATAAAAATAAAATTAATTTCATAAAAAGGTAACAAAATGACAATTAAAAAAATGAAAGTAAATTAAAAATTAAAAATAAAATAACCAACATATATATTATTATTTATTTTTAATAAAAAAATGTGTTTAATATGCATTGAAAAATATTTTAACATGAATGATGTTATTATCATTTTTACATCAACTTCTAAGGATAAATCTCATTAAAAAGTTATTTATCCTATGATGAATCATGATTAATAAAATTATAACCAGAAATTATATATGGAAGATGTATTTTTTAAAATGATTTTATTATTATTTTTAAATATATTTTTAAAGATAAATCTTATTAAATAGTTTTCTATTTTATGTTGGTCCTTGATAATAAAATTATAATTAAAACTCATGTATTGAAAATATATTTTTAAAATGTCTTTATTATTGTTTTTAGATCAACTTTTAAGATGCTAATTCATGAATAACGAAATCATGACCAAAATTTATGCATTGATAAAATATTTTTTAAAATGATATTTTTTTTATCATTTTTAGATAAACTTCCAAGGATAAATCTTATTAAGGAGTTATTTATCCTAATACATGAATAATAAAATTATGATAAAAAATCAATATTAAGAAAACATATCTTTTTTTTAATAAATCTATTATCATTTTTAGACCAACTTTTATGGATAAATCCCATTGAAAGGTTATTTATCCTATGTTGATCACTCAAATTCAATATTGGAAATATATATTTTTAAAATTTTATTATTATTTTTGGATAAACGTTTAAGGATAAATTCTATTAAAGAGCTATTTTCCCTATGATGATATTTTGATGTTGGGTTTGTAATTTTATTTTAGAAGAAAATGTTGAAGTCACAAATTTTTTAAACTCTCACATTTTTATTTAGTTTTTTTTCTTAAATTTCAGTTTAATTTCTCTCAAAATTTTACTGTGACTAGAGTTTTTAGTGGAAGAGACGAAGTTAAAGTTTTTTGATTAGAAAGATGAATTGTGATGGCTAGAGTTTTTAGGGGAAAAGATAAAGTTAAAGTTTTTTTTTTGTTGGAGAGATAAACTGTGATGGCTAGGTTGTTTTCTCTTTAAATTCTTTCAAACCTTTTTTTCTGTGACCTCTCCATTATTTAGAGCCATAGAATTTTGTTACCTTCTTTTCAGTTTTTAAGTAACTCAATTTTATTTTGGCCCCTCATATTTTTTGCTTTACAACATAGTCCACTTGACTTTGTCAATTTCATTTTAATTACCTCACCCCAAGCAACTTCATTTTATTTTAATCCCTCGTTTCTCTTGTCTTAATCCGTTTATCTACTTTTCTCTTTATGTTCTTGTGAAAATAATATTAACATTAATTTGATAAAAAAAATAATAAAAAATATGAAATGGATGCGAATGTATTGAAAATATATTTATTTGAATTTATTTTTAAAAAAATATTAAAAAATAATTTGAAAATTGCAAAATAGCTTGCGAAAGACCGAAAAACACATTTTTAAGGATTTGTTTTTGTTTTTCACTTTTTTTTTGGGATACTTGAAAAATATTTTGTAAGAAAAAGGGGTCACGATTGGGTCACTATGATAAAAACGCTCATTTCTGTTTACAAAAACATTGATTTGCCAAAAAGAAATAATTAAAAGATTTTTTTAATATAAATTTTAATTTGCTTTAGTTCTTGATATTTCGATAATTGTAAGGAATGACCCTAATATAATGCCCTTGTATGTAGAGGGAGAAGAGATAATCACAGAGAGAGAGTCTTGTCAATTTAGAATTGATTGAAACATGTTTTAATGTTTAAAAATAATTTTTAAATGTTGTTGGGATTATTCTAAGGTATTTGAAGATAAAAATAATGTATAAATTAGATTTAAGGGGCCAAAACTAGTGGCCTCTTGATTTTTCCGCCAACGCAGTCGCTGGAAAGTGGAGGTGGCAGCGACTCGAGTCTCCCCTTCGTGTTCCTAATGTCTAGGCCGCACTCAGCCCAACCAAGCTTCCTTTTTTATGCTTTTATTTTTTTTATTTATTTATTGTTTTCTTAAGATATGTTTTTCAATAATTAATGATTATTTTGTGAATTTTCTAATAACTCATTGACCAAAATTAAACATCCTTCTATGTAGATTGATTACGCACATTAATTTTCAGTGTTATTTTTCATACATATATTTTTTTTATTACCGACTCCTTTAATTAGATTTTTTTATAAAAAAAATCAATAAATAATTGAGTGTTTTTTTGTCTATCAATTTCAAACATATATTCATATGATATATATATATATATATATAATATATATATTTTAACTCAAATATAAGATACATGCCTGTGTTAATCACTATAAAATACATATTATAAACTTCTACCATCAATATAGCTTCATTTTAATTTTATTTATGTAAATTAATTAAATTAATTAAACAGGTTTTATGGACTTACCCACGTCAATGCACAAGGATTATACTAGTTATTTTCTAACACATCTTTACGTTTCTTGAAGACGACTGTTTGGTCAAAGAAACTTTGAAACCATATTAAAACTAAAATTTAAAAAAAAAAAAACCCAAAAGCCTCAACTAACTATCGTAGAGTATGGTTTCGTACTGTTGAATGACACCCAATTTTGATATATATGCTATTTAATTTACTGGTTAAGAAAAATGAAAAGAGTAGGTATATATGCCTTTTAGCAAGACGACAATTATAAGGCTAATTCGAGTTAATTGCGTGGGATGATAATTTTGGGTGATGTATGCATAGCCTGATCAGGTTAATTTCTTAAAACACACAATTAAGCACTAAGTATTTCTGATTAGGAAACAAGCTAAATATTGTACTCTTTTCGATATCTTTCTGCAGGGCTAATACACTGTATCTATTCCTATGCTAGAACTAGAATTATGGGAGCGGTTTTACATTTTTATTGAAGACTGCTAGAGGCTTCTTTCAGGGATGCTTTCTAGAGCAGGCTTCCAACCTTTATGTTCACCATCACTACCGGAGATATCCACCTTTTGCACTCTCTGTTGACCCTGAAGATGAGAAACCATATCATCAACTGAAACTCCTCCCTTTCTTAGCATCTCCTGCAGTTCTTGCTTACTGATCACCAGGTTGATTCTCACCACAGTACTGGTTTTTTCTTGCACATCTTTGGCCTCCTCCTCTGGAATTGAAAATCTTACTTTCTTCTTCTTAGCCTGTGGGGATGGCAGTTGGAGAGGCACAAGATAGTACAAGTGGTCTCCACCAAGTAGGTTGGTGTCTGGCGGAAGATGCTGGAAAGCCTGAAGCGAATCAGCTATTGCATGACCAGAGAAATCTGACAGAACTTGCTGGACTTTTATGGGTGCTTGGTATTCAAGGATCTTCCCATCTGGTTTCATGACCTTGATAACATTTGCTTGCAGAACCAGGCAATTCCCCATGATATATTTCTCTAGCTACTATTGATTGTTTAGTGAAAAGAAAGAAGAGATCTTGCTTCTTGGCAATGCTTTAATTTCTTTGCATGAATGGTGCTGGGGTTATAACTGGCGTTGTGTGTGTTTATATATACATAGAATATGGTTATAAAGATGCCCTTGAGATGTCCCAGATATTACAAGGAACACCACTCCTTTCACTTTGGACCCC